ATGTATAACAGGTCACACTAGCATGGATGTGAATACTGAATTTTGCAATGGACATGGATGTATGACATCATTGTAAAGGCCCGATCAAATTAGATCGTAACATTGGCAATGAGTTTGTGGGCAAGGCCTATGTTCAGCAGTGCACGTTTTATGGCGGATATGATGATGATAATGATCGGCAATGATTTGATCCAGACATAGTATTTACAAAACATTTTTCCTAAAAGAAAAACTACCTACCTAAACCAACCATTTCCACCTACATTAAAGCGACAGAAACCGCAGACAATAGCCAGTTCCCTCATAAATTAATATCATAGCGTGACTAATAACTAAAATCGATATCTAACACTGTAATATTAACGTTCAGTTTCAATTACAGCCGCTTAAGGACAATTACCTATTTATGAGCCACGAGTCAAGAATACACGTTTGATACCAGCATGTGCGTTTGTTCCCACAAATATCACTTCATAGACAAAGGGATATTGATTGATATAATCTAACTATCCACTTTTATAAGTGACTTATTGTGGTTGGTTATTACTGGTTCGTCCTTCAGCCGTGTGGTGATGACACACCTGCTCTTGGGGCATGCCCGACACAACCTTCCAAACCGCTGCAACTTTTGTAAGTCAGGATTTACAGTAGACACAACCATAAAAACACCGGAATACTGAAGTCTGGCGCGTCTTCTATCCCGCAATGAAATAAACCAGAAGATATTATTAGAGAAGAGAATACAATAGTTTCCACTTTCGTGTATTAAAAGCCTACTGAGGGACTAAACATTTAAACAGAAACTGGGTAGCAGCGATCTCTGATGAACCTGAACCTTTTAAACTGCGATCTCTAAGTAACCTGGCAGTGAATATTGCAACCCTCTTGCTTAGGGCTCGTACACCAAACTGTGTTTTTTTTTAAGGGGGGAAAATCATCGAATGCCTGCTCCCGCCTGGGTGAGGCCGGAGGGAGTGTCAGACTCTTACTGACTAAAAACCACCCCGTTCCTTCTCCTGCACGTCGAGCCGGAGCCCCGGTAACCCGTTAGGTTCTCCGCGACACACCAAACTGTGTTGCGACGTCGCAATGCAAAAAATTACGATGCGAATTGCTGCGATGCGATTTCGTGCGACAAGGCGTCTCCAACGGGTTACCATTCCTTCGACGACCTACGTATACATAGAGAAGGTGAATAGTCCAGTAGCGATCTATCATGAGCTGATGAAGCTGATATCTGAATTATCTGATCCTTGCAATGGTCTAGTTTTAATCGCTCGTACTCCTAGCACAATGAACACGAAGTCGGACACAATATACTGATATTGTGTTCGGTTCGGTTCCTGAATCGTTTTTTAATGACTGCGTCATTGAGCAATATTAAAGAGACAACCAAGCAAGAAGCGTCGGGTTTGATTCCATAGCCACCTAATGTAGAACATTTTCAATTTTGAAATTAAGCAGTACTCGAAATCTGAAATGGTCCACGTTGTGTTGTATGACAATAAGTTCACCCCTATTAAGTAGATATGGTAAGTACTCTACTACCTCTACCTACTCATTCGCGGAATGAAAGGCATATGATCTTGTTGCTTTTTAATTATTCAGGTACAGAAATATGAGTAGCACGTAACTGAGTGGGTAAGTAAAGTTTACTCACATTTGTTCTAGTTTGATAACACTTCGAACAATAGTTTTTACTCGCTTGTTTCAACTTCTTTACAACTTGTGACACGCAAGAACGTTTTTGACACGAATGTCGACCACTGCCCTTTCATTATAAATGTATACACGTCCTTATTTACTCTGTAGCAGCGTATAATTAAAATTAAAAAGAAAAATAAATTGTTTTTTGTTACAAGTACTGGTGTTGCCTGTTAGCCTGGTTCCCGGTATGAACTTTGCTGCCATGTTACCGTCATTATACCTTTCTATTGCCAATATACTCTAAGTATCTGGTTTGCACCACAAATGGAGTAGACATAGTAAGAAAATTTAGGACGCCTAAATTAGGTACAGTGTAGCCCGATGGCCTAAGTTAACCTGAATTTGTACACATCATTGATTATCTAATAAAAAAAACGCAATTTATTTTTCACCAAATTATATGATATGGACGTCACTACCTACGGATCTACTCATTAGTCAGATTCGTATCTGATATGTCATCTTACGTCCTTATAGTCAACATAAACGTAGTCCATAGGAAGATAGTATACCTAACCTACATCATATCCAAACATTTTTTCATGAAAACTTTGTTTGTTTCATGTTAGTTGTCCTCGAGGGAGAAATATGTACGCCTAAAGGGGACATTAAAAGCAACTTTTTTATTTAAACTTTAGGACGTCAAACATGCCCGTAGTTAAACCGACCTACCTACCTACCTATCTATAAAGTTTAGATAAGTAGGTAAGTTTTTTTTTAAGGGAGGAATATCATCGAATGACATGTCCCGCCTGGGTGAGGCGGGAGGGAGTGTCAAACTCTTAGTGACTAAAACCCACCACGTTCCTACTCCTGCACTTCGAGCCGGAGCCCCGGTGACCCGTTAAGTTCTCCACGGCTTCGTATCGGCATCAGCCCTATTGGGCCCCATCCGTGGTGGTCTGATTCTGATGGCTCTTTGAGGCGCGCGCGGAACGCGACGCGCCGTAGTATGTAAGAAGCAACCTACTTACAGGGTAATTTTAAGTATATAAGCAAACATGAGTAATAAAAGGGTTTTTGATGTTGCTTGCAAAGGATGATTTTACAGTTGTTTTGCAACTTTGGGAGCAAATAATATTTGCACCCAAAGTTGCGATAAAATTAGCAAGAAAACACAAGACTTCGTTGACTTACTTACTTTTTACTGGTACATAATATTTATTTTACAATTTTAAAACCGTGCCTACCGACGAAGTAAGCGATGAAACCAAACGATATCATGTTAAACTTTGGATGTACGATGCCAAACAGTGGTGGAAATCCGCCCCGAAATTTGTATGGGAAAAAGAACGGCTAGAGCCACGTTCGGTTGCAATACGAGAAATATCCCAGTTTATTCAATATTGAAACACCTGTAATACTCGGATCGCATGCAGTGCATAAGACACGCGAATGTGTCATTTTATGTTTTTAGTTTCAGTTTACAGTTAATTTCACATAGTGGGCAGTTTTACGGTGTAGGTAAGTATTAGTGTTTAACGTAGTGAGATATTGAATTCTATTAGTAACTAGCTACTTCCGCGCGGTTTCACACGCTCTGCTTAGCTCCTATTGGTCGTAGAGTGATGTTTCATAGCCTATAGCCATCCTCGATAAATGCGCTATCCAACACAAAAAGAATTATTCAAATCAGACTTGTAGTTACGGAGATTAGCGCGTTCAAATAAACAAACTCTTCCGCTTTATATAATAGTATAGATAAGATAATAAAATCATCGTTATTACATAACATAAAATTGATTCTATATTTTCTTATTTTAAGCACTTAAGTACTTCTGACAAACACAACGTAACGCAGGTACTATGGACCAACCCATTAGAGCTCTGAACGTGGTTAACGTTGCGATCTCGTAAAATGTAAAAAAAACTCGTATCGTACTAAGCCTGGTTTATTTAAAAGATCCAGTGTCACTTATAGGTGAGCTGATACCAACTGGGAAAGTTTTAATGGAGTAAGAATTCTACACTCCTTAGCATTTCCCTCCGTCATCAAAAAAAGGTCGATCGGTACCAAATTACGTACCTACTTACTTAGTACTGCAGAACTCAAAATACGTTGTTACCTTGAAATTAGAACTCATCATCGTCACCATCAACTATCCTTACTAATCCTTACTAATATTATAAATCGGAAAGTGAGTTTGTTTGTTTGTTCCGCTTTCTCGCCGTAACTGCTAAACCGATTGCTTTGAATTTTTGCAGACGTAAAGTTAGAAGTCCGGATTAAATAATATGGTACTTTTTATCCCGGAAAAATTTGACTCCCGAGGGAAAACAAAAGTATTGGTATAGATGGCGCTGTATGTATATGTCACATAGGCTACTTTTTATCCTTTTGTGACGCGAGCGAAGCCGCGGGTAAAAGCTAGTACCTATAAGTGGCCAATGCTGACCAAAGGCTTCTTGTCGCACGGAGGTTTGAGCACCACGCTTGCTCAATGCGGGTTGGCAATTACAAACTTATAATTAGAAATTATAAGCCCAGGTTTCTTCACGATGTTTTCCCGTTTGTCAGTGGTGTCTAGATAATCTTAGAAAGTATATATAACTCACAAAAGTCACATTGGTACTTGCCGTTGGAAGATTTCGGACCCAGGATGGGTTCATGCATGCATGAGAAGCGGGCTACTTACGAAATTAGAACTAGACCAACCTAGTCATCAAAATTTCATGCGTACCTCGCAAATCAGTATTTAAACTGAATGATGAACATAAAATCCTTGGATTAGTTTGGCTAACGGCTTTTCAAGTAATCTTTAGTAGTGCTAACAGCATTATCAACGAAATCAATTGCGCAGGTCGCGTTATAATTGGGTTAGTTTCTTGTGAAGTGTTATAAATGTATTGGTTACACCTTGTTCCGGTTTACCAAGTCTTATTTGTACAAAATAAAATAGCTTTAAAGTACCTACGTACAATAATATTCAATATCATAGACATAATAAAAATGAAATACAAAAGTTTATTTCAATTACAACAAGCATTTGATAAAATTATTGGAGGTCATATGAATAGATTCAGAAGACATAAATTCTATGTTCAAGATAAACGGTTAGTCTCAATTAAATTTCGGTGACTGAAGTTTACTCCCGCAATTTTGTATTTGTTCCAGTCTCACCGTACAAAAAATCTACTTAGGTAGCTATCTCTAGTGGCCAAATCTATCGACTATCAATGAGAGTAACCGTCAAATAATATCTCAATAGTCTTGACTTAAATAGATACTCACAATAACGACCCAACTTACTAAGGAGGTAGATACAATAAATAAAACCACCTCGTACAGGGTATTTGAACTTTAATACCTCACAATAATATTTAAATTACAAAAGCCATAAATGATTAATGTAAAACGTATTATAATAAGACATTTAGTCTACATTGAGATCCTCATGTTAATAGGTCATTGAATGTACGCTTCAATACCTACATAAACTCGAAGCAAATTCATGTATCGCCACCTCTCCTCGGCGGCATATCAAGTTACATCTTTTTTTATAAAACCCTGAAGCAAAAGTCAACTATTAATTGTTACACAACATAGTATGCGATGCGACACCTTAAGCTAAACAGTATTTAAACAGCAAGGACTTTTTGCTGCAGTTTTGGGACCTACCGTATTTTTGTAAGTAAGATGGCGCTAATGTCAACATCTCGTTCTTCGTCTAGTTGGAAAGTAGCCAATTATTGGGTACCTACTTGCCAACTAGTCAAATTCAATTTTTTTTTTTAAATTTTCAAATACGTTAGTTTTCTATGAATTTTGTACGAGATTGTATGTATATTGTGGCGTCATGTTTTTTAGCGTCAAACAGTATACTTAGGTACTTATTTCCTAAAAATTTCCAGGAAAATATTAAAACTAAATTGGTCATAAAATCAATTAATGTCAGATTAATTATTTTTAATATTATTGTATTGGAATACAATGAAATATACAGTATAAACAATACAGTCGAAATAGTTTGTTTTTGATTAAGGAAAGTTTCCAGCGTCACGCTGTCCACTACGTGTTGAATAATTGGCAACTGCTATGAATGGACGAAAAACTTTTACTACACTAGTGTCATCTGGTGACCAAAAATGCGGTAGCCCCCATTTGAGGATCCTTACTTTAGCAGGGTAAAGGTATTATGAATAATGGCCTTAGATTAGGTATTTTATTAGGTACAAATCACAAGAGAAAACTGAGAGGAGCAACTGATTAAAATAATCACTATTTTTACAAGAACGAACTCCATGACTGTGGAGAAAATCTTAGTGTAGAACCACATGAAAAAAGTAATAGTAATAATAGTGGTCCCAAACCTAAAAAAAAATATAATTTTAAACACAAAATGAATACTTATTTAGGTAAAAGTCCTAACTAGTTTGACTATGACACGAAATAATAAAGTATGGTATACATTCTAATACCAGTACAAAATGTACCTATGACAAGGGCACGGACCAAGAATCCGTGGAGAATTGGTATGTAACATTAAAAAAAATACCAGTACATACAAATAAATAAAAGTAGAATTGACATCAATCCAATCTCATACTAAAACAAAAAAACTTAATAATGTTTGCCAGACGCCATTGAAATGAAATAATTAGAATAATTAATCTATCATTTATTATGGTATTGATAGGCTGTAGGGAACCCAATGGTATGCTGATCTAATGAGTCCTCATAGGTTTTAATCGTCAAAACATATTATACTCGTAATTTACATTCACAGAGGGTTATTGCTCACTAAATTATGGTAGTGCTGTGTAAAGTGGTCCAGTTACCAAAAGTTCACAAATGAATCAATAACAGTAGTGGTGCTACTGACTGTGTGCGTCTATTGACAATTACTGTTGTATTTCAACTGGTGTGGCGCTAGTGTGCCGCTACCGCTAAGGTGCTAGGCCCCCACCCTAACCAATGTGCTGACGTTTCAAAAAAGGTTCGTTTAATATATTTTCTGGCTCTCAGGATCTACTGATAATTAGGTTATATAACTGAGTATTATATGCCACAATTTTACTACATATTTCGGTATCTTAACATACATATTTTAATAGCACATGGTAATGTACTGTAGCATGACTTTCTAGTACATATTTCAATAGACAAAAACTACATTGTAGTGCTGAAATCAAAAGCAAATGTATGTAAAACTTGTGTTTATTATTATATTTGAACCTTTCCAAATAATAAAAAAAAACAATACCCTTCCTATCCTACAGTCAGGTAAAAACAAAAATTAGATACAGGAAATACTAGTATGCAATATCATACTCAAATACCTCAAAAATTAAAACTAAAACATTATAATATTAATAATAACACAGTATTTTATGTTAACTTCATTTTATATTATACTAATGACTTCAAAATTCAAGGAATTTCGTATCACATATCTCATGAATTTGACTGTATTGCTTTACTTACAATAACAATAATAACTATATGAGCAGCCATAACCACAAAACATGATAGTCCATGAATAACCTACTAATAATTAACTAAATAACATGTTTTACAAATAATACATTTGTACTCAAGTTTTTGGTTACAAAACTGCATCATCATTATCACAATCAGTTTATAATAACAGGATAATAATAAGGAATGAAAAATAACAAAACTAAACCTAAAAATTGTATAGACATGACACATTCTTGAAACTGAATTCTTACATCTTGATTTTCATACAATAATGAAGGCTCAGCAAATAAACACAGGCAGGCAATTTAAGCTGGGATTACACTTATGTATGTGGACAAAAACCATAATTAATATATTCTAAATAGTTATAGAATTTTTTCTAAATGGTTATAATTTTTAATATGTTTAATTACGTTTTACATCCACATTTTAACTCAAACAGTTCATTTTGAGATACAAATAAAATGTAAATTGTTATAGTCCCCAGTACAACAATGGTCAGATTTTTCACATACTATCAATTTGTTTTAATCAAAGTAGGATGTTAATTAAAGTAAGAATATGAATAGAAACTTTTGTTTAGAGTTAATGTGAAAATAAATACACAATGTGCAAAGTTACCCATGAGAAATCTGGCCACAGTTGATACTAGGCATATTATATAAAAATATAAAATTACCATGAAATCCATGGGGGCTGGTTCATCTTACCAATTGGCACATGAGTCAAATTTATTGGCAAATTGACAATTGCATAGTCCTTCTTTAATTTTCTTAATGTGCGAAGTATAGTGGTTCCACTTCGACCCAGAAGATAAGCAGCTGGTATATTCACATCTTGGTCCATCCTGAAAATATGCATTATGTTCTTATTATTTACTTTTATCACAATAGTATGGGTTTACCATATTTGTAACAATTCCCTTAGCCCAGAGTATTTCCAGGTAATCTTTAACCTTAACCCTTTGAGTACCCTCATTATAGACACAATTAAAGAACAATAGGTTGCGGTCACCGGTGTCCTCAGTGTTTGACAGTTTAAATCTGTGGCTGCAAACATTGAAGATCAAACGATGTATTCAAGAGAAGTAACTCAGGTAGAAAATCTCAATATGCAACTGTTAGGCTATAGCCTGCTAGGCACTTTGCCTGTAGGAGGCTCGAAACTTTACATTCCAGGGTCGCAAACAATGTAGCCATATGGTTAATGCTACATTGTTTGCCGTCTTCTTTAAAAACATATTAGAAAGTGACTTACTTATCATCTACCATCTCTATTAGATGGTCCAGTGAGTCATCCCATTTGTCTACTGACTCGGTTATTATTATAGCTCTAGCTCCAGCCTGCTGAGCTTTTGCTGTTTTGAAGACAAAGGAACATCCTCTGAAAATTTACAAGAAGCAGATTAATAATATTAAAACTTTGTAGGATAGGATTTAATTTTGTAGATAGGCAGCCCCTATCCATAATTGGACCTCACACCACTGTTTATGAGTAGGCATATTGTTTTCTCAGTTCTTCTTTAAACTTTGTAGTCTCTGTTTCGAAAGACTTGAGCCATAATCTAAAATTAAACCTGAATTATGAGTATGACCCATCCTTGGAAGTAACACAACATCACGCCTTTTCATCATCGGGATACCACCTCACAGAGGTGCCCATCACGGCATGTACATACCATGTAACATCCACTTCCTTGGAAGTGCAATTATTAAGTGATAATAGTGGAATGTAACAATAAAATGAAGCTTACCCTCTTTCTGAGAGCGCAATTTGACCGACAATGTCATCTTGATTCGTTAGGTCGACACAACTATGCAGTGGATTCGTTGGAACCAACCGTGCATCTTGAAATTGTATACTCTCATTCTGGAAACACATGACATGAAATCAATAATAATAAACTGTTATTCAAAAAGCGGTCACACAAATATTAATAAGAAATACTTACAAAAGGCGTACCAAAATCTTTCGCCGGTCTAATTCGATATGAATATCTAAGTTCCGGAGGATCTAGTATTTCGAAAAATACGTCTCCGTAAATAATGTCTGCTGTAGAAACACCATCATGGAAATGTAAATCATTTGCTGTAACAATTACCAAAAAATAATTAATAGTTAAAGCCTGCAAACTTGATAGCGCAATCAACAACCATAATTAATAACAAATTTACCACCAGGTGACACGACACTTATAAATATAGTAAGTAGTATACTAGAATATAGCGGCAGTAATCGTTTTATTGAATTAAGTTTCATTTTAAAACGCATGTCAATTAAAGTAAATCACCAATTCTTATTCGTATTGTAGTAGCAAATGCCTATCGTTTGATAGCAACCATCATTGACATTAGATCGCCAATCGACATTGATGTCAGTGTCAGATGTGACTACTACTAGTGACAAGTGCCAAAAATGACAATTTATATTCTCACTTTTTTCCTAGTAGCACGCAGATATTTACATATTCAGATTCTTAGAGTATTTTTCAGAATACAACTTTTAGAGATGTCTCTTGTCTTTCACATTAACCCATTATTTAATCTTTGAATTAACAGCAGTTATTTGAAATGCATTAAAATTTTCAAACATTATTATTGTCTCGTGACTCGGACTTTGTCGATGCTAGTGGAAGAACCGGTTGTAGTCGTAGTTCATAATCATGTGTTTTATAAATGTAAAACTCTCTTGATTAAAAACATAAATAACAAATAAAAGCCAAGTTATATATGTAATAAATACGGCTTTCTTGATAGATGTAGCCCTTGGTTAAAGCATAATACCTTCCTACTCGCAGCTGTATACGCAAAAATGTAGGCACATTTTCAATATGTAACTCCCAGTTCTTTATAAGTTATCCTATGAGAAACATTATGTCCTTTACAACAAAGACCGCGTTTAACCCTACATAAATTCACTATAGTGATCAATGTATTAATTAGTGATACCAACTTATTATACTTTCCCTTTGTCCATTTCACCGTCGCATCAGACAATAGGTAAAGCACCATCGCTTGATGACAAGTAGTTATTCCACCCCTTCGACTGAAGCAGCAAAAATAAATAATGCAATGCATCATCATCGATTCTGATTCGTGACAGAACAATAATAGGGTCGTGTTCGTATTCTACAGTATGATTTCTATCTATAGTACATTAACTCAAGGACGTTGAAACTGGTAATTAGTATTTCTAGTTCTTAATAGGTGAGGCACCAATGAGTCAAATTGTAATTTGTGTAGTAATTTGTAATCAATGTAAAATGTAAATCGTGAGAAATCTGGAAGCAGGTTTATTTTTTAAATTAGACTTGGCTAAAATAACAGTTGTTTCCAGTAATTATGATCATTGTAGACTATAGAGACCAAGATGACGTGTTCTTAACAGTTTATTTAGAATTGTTCATGGTAGGGAGTTACCAAAGTCACCATTATGTTGGAATGGAATTTCTTATATGTAAGAAAAAAAGTTAGTAATAAAAGTATAAAGTACACTACAATACCACTTATTTTTTACAAACATGCAATTCAAGTGCATATATAATAATAATATTTAGTAACTATGGAAATATCACAGTAAAACGTTTTTTCATGTAAAGAAAAATAATACCGTAGAACATAACGTTTTGCGTCAGTTAATAATGATACCATACTAATAACATTTCCATTTATATAAGGAAAGTCAAAAACGTAATTCGCTACATCATGGCATTCGTAGCCCTTTCACAAATCAAGGTCTTCAGTTATCTTTATTTCTGAATGAAGGTAATATCCAAATTGAATAGTATCATAATTTATTGAAAATAATGTAAAATTAAATAATTCTGAAATAAAAAGTAAGGATAAAAAAAGTAAAATAAAATTTTAACGTGTTGAGTTGCTCTAAAATTCTCATCTATGTCTTATGAATACTGTCAATAAAAGAATAACTGGCTCATGATGGAAAGTCTATCCCAACAATTTCATTGTACCCTTTTAACTAATAAATCAAGCATCAATTGGAGGAATTCCGTTTACAAGTATGGTATCACTAAGAATGTCAAGTCAATCTTCAATAAAAACAAAAGGTGAAGTTTACAGGTTGTCTACTACACTATCTAATAATTTATTATGCTCTCGCTACAGTGAGTGCAACAGACGTGTCGGTTTAAGTGTTTAAGGATTATTAGAAGTTCTTGCATCACCTACTAGGACTTGGCAGGTATTGGCCTTATGATATTTCGTATAGTATTCTAAATTTTCCGGTACTGTATGTAAATAGAAATGAATCCTAATTTCTAAAAAAAGAAAAGTAAGGACTTGATTTGTAATTAGTTAACTTCATATTTTTTACTTTTAATTGTTTTTCTACCAATATTAGTCTGTTTAATTTTTACGAATGATTAATAAAATCATTTATGATGCTTATTTGTGTTCTAATTAGTTTAGTTAATTATTCGATGAATTAGTCGGTACTTATTAGAAATTTAATTTTACACTGATTTATATAAATCACTATTTTAGTTACCTATAATAAACCAAATGAGTTTCTGTGTAAGTAACAAAAAAGAGGGAAAGTTCTTAGATAAGTATGTATGCTAGAACAAATCTATATCTTATGGTACTATCACAGATTTCTACAACATGGAGGTGGACGAGTATGTAGAGGATGGTGACCAGCTAAAGGCAAGGCCTTACCAAGCTCAACTTGAAGAAATTGCTGTTAAAAACAATACTATCATTTATTTACCAACAGGTTTGTCAAAACACATTGTTAAAAGTAAATGCCTACTTGTTATTTATTTTTTATTTACAAATATCTGTAAAAGAGTACTTTATGAATCTTCAAATAAAATGGAACTTTTATTATTTATCCACAGGTAAAGTGCCAAATAAAGTAGCAAAATAAATATATATTTGGTCTCCAGTCATTGGCAAAAATTATCTCTATTTTGTAAAAAGAATTTTAATCTTTCATTTTAAACTTGAGATTTTTACTTATTCTTGATTTGTACCTACTGCATTATTTACTCTTCTCATATTTAGTTTAAGTACTACCTGTTTGTAAAATATAAATTTAAATGTTATAGTTATGTGATATTGTAATATTTTAAAGAATAATTTCAGTTCAGTCTCCTTCATGAAACCAAGTTAATGTAAATTTTACTTAAAGTCAAAAATTAAAAATATATCTTTGTTTTAGGTTCTGGTAAAACATATATTGCAGTTTGTCTCATTAAAAGATTCCGTCATGCATTACAAAAACCGTGGGGACAGGGAGGGAAGCGGACTTTCTTCTTGGTCAACAATGTACCATTGGTAAACCAACAGGTAAGGTGCAACTTTTGTTTAACATCATGTACATACTACTTATGTATGTGCATATCCAGATATACAATTGCTAAATATTAATGACTTTTTTACCAGGCAATAAAAATACTCATTTTTTTTTTGTCTCATAGTAAGTGACCCTTTTATTGTCACAAGATTTAGGCTAAGGCCCAGTGTACACTTTCTGTACTTTGTTTGTAAATGTTTTATTCAGTTTTTTATCAGTTTATAAATTCTACGTAATGTAATATGAATATCTTTTACCATGCCTACACCAGACACAATCCTTACTATCCTGAATTTTAAAAATTTGATGATCAGCTTTACATCACACATTAATCTAATAGTACCTAATATTGGCTCACCCAATAAACTGGGCAGTTCCAATTTTATCCTAAATAAAATAAAATAAATATAGTTATTCCTATTAATAGTAGTTATTTTATGACTTTATCATATAATTAAATATAATTATGACGGTTCTATTATCAGTTGACTCATTTAGTTATATCAGTAGGTACATATGCATGTATATGTGCATTGTCTATTTGTTAAAATAGAATAAAGAGTAGTTAAGTTTGCTAGTTTCAACGGATCGTCATGAATGTAAGTTACTGAAAACAGTAAAAGGAATTTTTCAAGGGCGTTTCGTAACATGGACGCGAATAGGCGAACTTACCCTATGTACAAATAGCTATCTATTACTAATCAAGCACCAAGTAAGAGTGAATAAATAGTGTGTATTCTATTATTACAATTTATTTTTTATTGTCATTGATAAATCCGAAATTAGTATAGGTACCAATATCTTAATTCATTCTGGGTATAATCGATTTGGAGTTTACACAAAAATTCAAAAAGAATTAATGTTAAACACCAATCTCAAGTCTCGACATAAAGATTTTAATTGAGATCGGTTATTATTTATAGCCACAAGTTACGTAATACTTAGTTTAAGTTGCACATTGTTTGGGTCGTGTCAAGTCGTGTACTGACGTGTCCCATCATGTCCCCGGATGACGTGTCCCTACCCTAAGCGCACAGCTCCGTAAGTACTCGAGCTCAAAGTTGCATCGCACAACATTTCTATAATTTATTTGTTATTGCGTCATATGTTCTCTCTAACTACACGTATACTTAAATATAGTAGGACTAGCGACCCACCCCGGCTTCGCACGGGTGCAATATACATGTATTATACATATATATAAATAATAACTATATGACTATATCTATTAAAAAAAACCGCATCAATATCCGTTGCGTAGTTTTAATAAAGATCTAAACATACATAGGGACAGACAGACGGCGGATATCGACTTTGTTTTATACTATGTAGTGATTAGTACAGAGTAGATTAGATTAACTACTAGACTAGAGTATTCTCCATTTTCGCTTTTATTGTTAAGATTATTTACAAAGAGTAGGTAATAGAAAGCATAGTAATTAAATTATGTCACCCGCGAGGTGAGAAGGAGTGTGATTTATTAACTAAAAACCATCTGTTCCTGATCCAGTATGGAACTCCAGTGCGAAGCCGAAGCCCGAAGAATGTGTATAATACTGAAACGTTACTCAATTTTAAGTCGTGCTTAAATATCGTGCTTAAATTCTTTGTAAAATGACAGCATCTCTGTCATTTATGGAGACAGAACTATACTTAAGCGTGACATAAAATTGAGTAACGTTTCAGTATTCGGGCGATAGTTGGTTAGTTAATAGATAAGTAGTGGTCCGCCCTAGCTTAACCTGAGCATTATGTACCGATGATCCCAGTTAATCTTGATTTTTTATATTATTATAGGTATGTATGTGAAAACCTTGTCTTAACAGTCAAGAGATATTTTTATGGTGGAAGATCTATCCAATTTGGTTCAGTAGATATTTCGAGAGTTATAATGCATACATACATACATTAAGGTGATTATTTATTTAAATAATTAAGTGTAATGGGTATTTATTTGTTGACCCAGTTAATTGTACCTACGGGAATAGTGCACACACTATCGCCAGTCAGTATCGCCAC